AAAAAAGGCACTCAGAAAAATTGAAAAATTGATGAATCACCCCAATTGCTTAACACGATTTTATCTCAGAAACTATAAGTGCAAATGAGCTGAAATTTTCAGGGATTGTAGTCCTTTGAAAAGGATAATTTTCAGTGAAAGATTCAGCTTTCTATCTATAATAGAAAAAAAAGTTATGACATTTCAAAGTTTTCCAAAAAAATCATAAGGTAGCTACCTTCTTTCTAAAACGATGAAATTTCAAATTTTTTTTTTGTCGAGATTTTGTTTCCTACTGGTCCCTCGTGATACCCTGAACTCCATAAACTAAATTATTCTCAGATTTGAAGCCGAAATCTATGAAAAAAGGCACTCAGAAAAATTGAAAAATTGATGAATCACCCCAATTGCTTAACACGATTTTATCTCAGAAACTATAAGTGCAAATGAGCTGAAATTTTCAGGGATTGTAGTCCTTTGAAAAGGATAATTTTCAGTGAAAGATTCAGCTTTCTATCTATAATAGAAAAAAAGTTATGACATTTCAAAGTTTTCCAAAAAAATCATAAGGTAGCTACCTTCTTTCTAAAACGATGAAATTTCAAATTTTTTTTTGTCGAGATTTTGTGTCCTACTGGTCCCTCGTGATACCCTGAACTCCATAAACTAAATTATTCTCAGATTTGAAGCCGAAATCTATGAAAAAAGGCACTCAGAAAAATTGAAAAATTGATGAATCACCCCAATTGCTTAACACGATTTTATCTCAGAAACTATAAGTGCAAATGAGCTGAAATTTTCAGGGATTGTAGTCCTTTGAAAAGGATAATTTTCAGTGAAAGATTCAGCTTTCTATCTATAATAGAAAAAAAGTTATGACATTTCAAAGTTTTCCAAAAAAATCATAAGGTAGCTACCTTCTTTCTAAAACGATGAAATTTCAAATTTTTTTTTGTCGAGATTTTGTGTCCTACTGGTCCCTCGTGATACCCTGAACTCCATAAACTAAATTATTCTCAGATTTGAAGCCGAAATCTATGAAAAAAGGCACTCAGAAAAATTGAAAAATTGATGAATCACCCCAATTGCTTAACACGATTTTATCTCAGAAACTATAAGTGCAAATGAGCTGAAATTTTCAGGGATTGTAGTCCTTTGAAAAGGATAATTTTCAGTGAAAGATTCAGCTTTCTATCTATAATAGAAAAAAAGTTATGACATTTCAAAGTTTTCCAAAAAAATCATAAGGTAGCTACCTTCTTTCTAAAACGATGAAATTTCAAATTTTTTTTTGTCGAGATTTTGCGTCCTACTGGTCCCTCGTGATACCCTGAACTCCATAAACTAAATTATTCTCAGATTTGAAGCCGAAATCTATGAAAAAAGGCACTCAGAAAAATTGAAAAATTGATGAATCACCCCAATTGCTTAACACGATTTTATCTCAGAAACTATAAGTGCAAATGAGCTGAAATTTTCAGGGATTGTAGTCCTTTGAAAAGGATAATTTTCAGTGAAAGATTCAGCTTTCTATCTATAATAGAAAAAAAGTTATGACATTTCAAAGTTTTCCAAAAAAATCATAAGGTAGCTACCTTCTTTCTAAAACGATGAAATTTCAATTTTTTTTTGTCGAGATTTTGCGTCCTACTGGTCCCTCGTGATACCCTGAACTCCATAAACTAAATTATTCTCAGATTTGAAGCCGAAATCTATGAAAAAAGGCACTCAGAAAAATTGAAAAATTGATGAATCACCCCAATTGCTTAACACGATTTTATCTCAGAAACTATAAGTGCAAATGAGCTGAAATTTTCAGGGATTGTAGTCCTTTGAAAAGGATAATTTTCAGTGAAAGATTCAGCTTTCTATCTATAATAGAAAAAAAGTTATGACATTTCAAAGTTTTCCAAAAAAATCATAAGGTAGCTACCTTCTTTCTAAAACGATGAAATTTCAAATTTTTTTTTGTCGAGATTTTGTGTCCTACTGGTCCCTCGTGATACCCTGAACTCCATAAACTAAATTATTCTCAGATTTGAAGCCGAAATCTATGAAAAAAGGCACTCAGAAAAATTGAAAAATTGATAAATCACCCCAATTGCTTAACACGATTTTATCTCAGGAACTAAAAGTGCAAATGAGCTGAAATTTTCAGGGATTGTAGTCCTTTGAAAAGGATAATTTTCAGTGAAAGATTCAGCTTTCTATCTATAATAGAAAAAAAGTTATGACATTTCAAAGTTTTCCAAAAAAATCATAAGGTAGCTACCTTCTTTCTAAAACGATGAAATTTCAAATTTTTTTTTGTCGAGATTTTGTGTCCTACTGGTCCCTCGTGATACCCTGAACTCCATAAACTAAATTATTCTCAGATTTGAAGCCGAAAT